CTTGTACAAACTAATTGTACCTCAGCACAAAGAGCTGAACTTGTGGCTGTTTTATCCACCTTGCAAACTTATTCTGACCCTTTGAATATTGTTTCTGATTTGGTTTATGTTGTTCATACAGTACAGAACATTGAGATGGCATCTTTATCATATAATTCAAATCCGTCTCTTCAAATTTTATTTAATCAACTCCAGCAGGTAGTGAGAAACCGTCAACATCCATTTTTTATTACTCACATCCACGCTCAGACGGCCCTCCCAGGTCCAATGACGCATGGTAATGTTATTGCAGATTCCCTAGTAGGGAGTGCTCAGGTTGCTAAGGCAACCCACCTTCACTCCCTGACCCATACCAATGCTGGCGGTCTCTGTTCTCGATTTCCAATTACTTGCAAACAGGCCAGACACATAGTTCAAACCTGTCCAACCTGTGAAATTCTTAATGCTCCACAAGAATATCCTGAAGGAGTAAACCCTCGGGGTCTTAACACTAATTTGGCAAATAGATATGACTCATGTCCCTTCCTTTGGAAAATTATCATTTGTACATGTCACAATTGATACTGCCTCTGGCTTTCTTGTGGCAACCGCTCAGACCGGTGAGACCACAGCTCATTCTTGCCATCATTTATTAACTTGCTTTTCTATTATGGGCCTTCCAAAAACTATTAAAACAGACAATGGGCTTTCTTACATCAGTTCTAAGTTTGCAAATTTCTGTGCTACTTGGCGAATTGCCCATACTACTGGAATCCCTTACAACACACAGAGTCAAGCCATTGTAGAACGTGCTAATTAAACCTTAAAGAAACAATTATAAAAACAGAAAGGGGGAGACATGAAAGAAACTCCCCAGGTGCAATTAGCAAAAGCCATGTTCACTTTAAATTTTTTTAATTCATCTGGTTCAAGCACAGAACCACATCTTGGGTGAATTGCAGCTGAAAGACATTTTAATAACAGCCCAAGAAAATTAGAAAATGTTCCCATATGGTGGAAAGATATTCAAACCAATCAATGGCATTTAGGGACTTTATTGACATGAGGATGAGGTTTTGCTTGTATTTATTTCTCCAGGTTCTGAAGAACGTCCTTTGTGGGTACCTGGCTGGTGTGTCAAACCTTACCATAAGCAACACGCCCAAGAAAAGAAAGCCGATATGGCCAAAGATTGCAAGATATGATTGGCCTCCTAATTGCCCTGTAGTGGAGGATACTCGACCCTTGATACCTTCGATGATTGAGATGTCTAATCTCTCATTTCAACCAGCCCATCCGAGGCCAACCGCTCCTTCAGCTTTTCGTGTAATTACTCCACAAACAAGGAGAGCTCCTCTACCTACTTGGGATCAACTGAAAAGGCTGGCTCAAGTAGCTGAACATCGGCTGTCAGAAGAAAATATTCCAAAAACAGAGGCCAACATGCTATTATCTATGATGGCAGTTCTTGCTGTTGTAAGTTGTTTTCCAATTGGTGTTGCTGCCGATAATTTTACTTATTGGGCTTACATACCCAATCCTCCTCTGTTAACTCCTGTAACTTGGAATGATGATCCTCCTCTAATTTATCTTAATGATAGCTCCTGGTTCCCTGAACCTGAAGATCCTAGAGGACCGGCGTTTCCTGAGGAGGAAAGGCAAAGTTTTACCTTATCTGGCCATTCCTCTCTAGGTNGCTATAAATAAGCAGGTTGCCAAAACTCAAGCAGCTGATATAATTTTACAAATGATGGCTTATGATAATGCTAATGAGGATTGCAAAAAAAGCAATAGGAGCTCAAAAAGGAAAAACAGATGCCATGGGCTACCTTTGTTTATGTCAAGGGGTAGGGACTGAACAGTTTAAAGCCACCATGCTGGCACAAGCTATTAATGACTATGGGAAATAATAAGTTTCCTGGCACTTGCTATAATTGTGAAAAACCTGCTCACACAAAAAGGGAGTGCTGGAGGAAAAATAAAAATGCCTCCCGTATGCCTAATAATTCTGCTCCTATGGAATCTAAGCCACCTGGATTATGTCCTCGATGCCAAAAGGAAGGCACTGGGCATCAAACTGTAGATCAGTTTTTCATAAGGATGGAACTCTCCTTCAGGGAAATGGGAAAAGGGGCCAACCCCAGGCCCCGACAACAACCAGGGTATATGTAACACAACCTGTTCCTCAGAATTACCAGGCAGTGCCTCCCCCAAACGTTCAGTACAACAATTAATTCCAACCACAGAAGGGAGTGCCATGGTAGATGTCTGCATGGCTCAAGACATTTTACTGCTTCCAGGAGAATCACCTCTCCATGTACCCATGGGAGTTTTTGAGCCAATTCCACCTGATACCATTGGACTTCTCTTTGGTCGCTCTAGCTTAACCTCCAAGGGAGTAACAGCCCATACAGATATTATTGATTCAGACTATGATGGAGAAATTCAAATTATAATGTCTTCAACAGTTCCTTGGTCTGCTAAGAAAGGAGAGCAGATTACTTTTTTGCTACTTTTGCTCCCATATGTCCTCCCAGGAAAAAAANGATTTACTACATGTTCAGATTACAGGAGAAAAATAATCTTATCAACTTAATAAATACTGGAAAAACATTTTATATTATTTAATACTTATTTATGATTAATTTTTAAAGTTTCACAACCTAGAAATGAAAAGGAATTTCCTAAATTCAATAAACTAGATCTTTCAAAAACTTAAAGAAGCAATATCATTGAAGTCAGGGGCACAACAATGATATATGCTGTCACCACTCCCATTCAGTGTGCAGTAGAGACCCTAAACAGTGTAATCAGATTAAAATGGTTCTAATATTGGAAAGATAGAGTTAAAATGGCCAGGAAAGAAAAGATAAAGTTATTAAATGTAGACAATTCAAGTACATTTCTAGAATACCTGAAAGAATCAACTGAAAAATATTAAAATTAAAAAATTAAAGAAAGATGTTTAGATTTCCTATATAAAAACAATATGAGGTATACAAGATAATGGAGCAATTACTCCATTTGCAATAAAATGAAAAATAAAGCAAGCAGAAACAACCCTAACAAAAAATGCACAAAGCTTACATTTTATTTTATAATTACATAGAACATGATTATTCTATTAGACATAAAAGAAGACTTAAATAAATGGAGATACATAGCATGTTCTTACATAAAGATATTAGATTCCATAATTATTTGTAAATTGCTCAATATACAAGGTCTGACAATTAAGTTTGGAAACTCATTCTAGAAAAAGTGCTGCATACCTCATTGCTGAATATCACTATGGTCACCTTTGAAGTACTCCCCTTGGGAAGCTATGCACTAATGCCAATGCCTAGTCCACCCTTCAAAGCAATTTTGGAAATTTTTCTGAAATGGCTATCAGAGCTGTCATCATATTACCTTTGATGTTTTGAATGTCATCAAAATGTCTTCCTTTCAATATTTCCTTTATCTTCAGCAAAAGAAAGAAGACATTGGAGGTCAGATCAGGTGAGTAGGAAGGGTGTTCAAACAGTGTTATTTGTTTACTGGCTAAAAACTCCCTCACAGACAGTGTCATGTGAACTGGTGCATTCTCATGATGCAAGAGCCATTAATTGTTGGCAAAAAGTTCTGGTTGTTTTTCTCTAACTTTTTCATGCAGCCTTTTCAGCACTTCCAAATAGTAAAGTTGGTTAACTGTATCCAGTTGGTACAAATTCATAATGAATAATCCCTTGATATTAAAAAAGTTTAGCAACATCGTTGCAACAAGTTTGAGAACCCAATTGTAAGATCTTGTATTTAACAAAATTCTAATAAATCCCCAAAAGATTCATTTTGAATTTGTTAAAATTATCTTAAAGCTCACCATGAAAAATGTTTACATAAGAATAGCTAGGAACATTTTAGAAAAGAAAGTTTGTAAAAAAAGAATTGTCCAAACATATCCTAAAATGTATTATGAAATAAGATGGCTCAACATAATAGAATGTGAATTATGAAATAGAGTTATTATATATAACAAATTAAAATAGGCCACAAATATTCTAAATCATTAAATGTAAAGAAATAAGAATATAAAATCTAAAACAAAATAATACATAATAATTGCCTGATTTCTAATAAAGAATTTCTAAACAGTAAAGCAGTGGGGGAAAATCTCAAATTAAAATATTTGACTACCTAAAAATACAAAATTCTCATTATCAAAAAATGTTATATGCAGGGACATCCAAGATGGCAGAGTAGATAAATGTGTTTGTCTCATCCAAAGAACACAACAAAATTATAAATAAATTATAGAACAATCAACTTGGAGAATTATCTGAAGTCCAGCTGAACAAAAGCTATAACTAAGAATATAAAGAAAAAGCAACATTGAGACTCATAGGAGGGGCAGAGACATGAAATGGGCTGGCCCCAAACTTCCCTGTGGTGGATGAAAATTGGGAGGAATATATCGGCCATAGAGATTCCCCACAAAAGAGCCCACAGGCCCACATAAATCTCCCCAACCTGGTCTACTGGTGCGTTGCCTTACAGCTACATCCATGACTGTCCCCACTCCCCTGCACTAACCCCTGACCTAACGAGGTCCTGAAGAAGTGTCTCGGATCACTGAGACCCAGTGGAATGATATTGGTCATTTCCCTTAATTGTATAGGATGCAGCACAGTAACGCTGTCCTGGGGGTTGTGCAGGCTGTATGAAGGCATAGTACATGTTGGAATACAATGGGAGCTGGTTAATGGAAAACAGCCTTAAGGCACATGNAAATCAGTGGTGGTGAAAGGGATATAAATGAGCCCTCCCCTAGGCAGCATCTGGCGCAGAGGCAAAATAGCCGTAGTCTCGGGGGGACAAGGGGCCAATGGAGTAGGAGGCTGGGACCGTCTGCCGGCAGTTGTAGTGTAAGATGAGCCACTTCGGGTGTAAGGTGGTGACAAGGGTGGAGACTGGGAGGAGGAGGAGTAATCAGGAACGGTTGAGTCGGGAATGGGCCTGGGGAGTGGAGGATAGAGGGGCCTGGAGGGGTATGGAGGATGCTGGGGAAGGGGCTGTGCTGGTGGTGGCAGCAGGGGTTGGGGCGCCGGAGAGTCCTCAGGCGTCTCCTGCAAAACTGGCGGAGGATTTAGAAATAGATTTTCAGATTTGGGCGTGGGGAGTGGGGGAACCCGCACAACCAGTACTGCTCCGAGGAAGGGAGTCTGGATGGTGCAGGAAGTTAGCCATTTAGGCGGGTTCTGACTTAATTATTTCCAAATATCAATATAAGGGAATTGGTCAGGGTGTCTGGGACATCCTAGAGTGATGTTCCATACAGCCTGAGCGGTGGCCTTGTCAAAGGTGCCAACTGTGGGCCACCCAACATTAAAAGAGGGCCAGTCGATCTCACAGAAAGTCCGGTGACGACCTCGGGAGAAGCAGATACCATAGTCTGCCTCCTTTTCCTTAGAATACATTTCACGGAAGTGGCCTAAGACGCATTCCGAAGTGGAAGATGGGCAGGACTGAGAATTACCCATCTCTAAAGGACAAGACTTAGACTCAAAGAAACATGAAAAAGACTTTCCAGAGACAGACCATGCAATGAGAAGAACAATAGAGACAAACACTGCGCCAAAACAGATAAGACAGCACAAATCCCTCCAGGAATCTAGAAGGGAGGGCCAGTAGTCACGGATAGGGTAGAACCTACGTGGCTCGAACATGACCCAAACAAACCAGGGGTAAACCAATGGGCCAGTAGTCACCGTGCATGACTCAGACGCCCAAAAACTGGGAGACTTGCTGCCGTAGCAGGACACCCAGACTCAAGGGTATATGCCGCGTCCGGCCCCTTAGAGTCCCAATAGATGTCGCGACCCAGACCAGAAAGAGACCATAAAGACCTCTT